CCCGATGTTGTTACGATCAGAGCCGAATTTGAACATTTCCTTTATCGTGTGTCCATCAGGTTGTTTTATTGCACAACAAAATCATGTAAACATATTATGTAAATAACCCAATTTGTGTTCTGTGAAACTAAAAAGGATATAATATATTATTTTGAAGGCGAGTTAAGGAAGTTGTTGTTGCTATGGAAACAACATGACGGAGAAAACTTAATATCTTCTACATAAAGACGGAGAAAGTAAAGAACAAAGTCTGAAAATATCAGTACAGTATCATAGTACTTTAACATCATTGTTTGTGTTACTTTCGTTGCAGTTGTATGTCTTTAATGTAAATGTTGCCTTCGTGTGTGGTTCGGGGCCATCTTCGTGCGAAATTCACAATTCCATATCCGTGTGTCCATCGGGTGTCAATTTCGGGACAGTGTGACCGGGGCTTTAACATGTTCTGTTTTTAACAATTTTACCCCCGTTTTTAGAGATGTGGGTACGGAGGGAAAGAGAGAGGGTTGTATTTTCTGACACTTCGTGAGTCAACACACATATTTATGTATAAAAGACATCAACAAGTGCATTTAGCATGATGGGACACCTTTAAGCATCGTCTGGTAGTCGAGCCTTCACAACCAGTCCTGATTCAAAGTGAAACTCACCGTTGACGACCATGGCGATGTCCACAAAGTCGATTTCTCCACGGGCCTCGACGCTCGCCTCGCAGCGATACACACCCTCGTCCGCTTTGGTCACCTGATGGATCTGAAGGTTGTTGTTCGGCAGCACCTGAAACCTGCCTTCACGTCGAAGAGGAAGAGGAAGAGGAAGGGAGAGAGAGAGAGAAGCGAGATAAGGAAGTTAGGAAAACACACGGAGGAAATTGCCATCTCCACTCTCCAGGAGTTAGACTGTCAATCTTCACTCGGGCACATTTACCTGATAGAGTCCACACTGATAACAATTCACGCAATTACAGTTCTCCATTGTGGCCAGGAGTGACGAGGCCTCTATCTCATTCCTCCCAAGCAAAGATATGTATATCCATGCATCGTAATTAGAGTGAAATGATTAAACTGAAAGAAATAAAATCCGTCTCCTCCTCTCCGAGTTTCATCATCACGCTGCCACTGAAGATTTGAATTTCAATTAAAAAACGTGACAGATTCAAGGGGTCACTCTTTCTAATCAGTGCTCGGACGTGCGCTTTCGTCTCGAAGGAGGAAGTGGTGTCGAGAGTTGTACATCAAGGCGGAGAAGACGAGGGAATAATGAATCCCGCTCTACAGGTTCCCTGGAAATAATAATCCTGCTGAAAGTGAGACTGTCCTGCGAGCGTTCCTCTACCTTTTTTATAACAAAAGGTTGGGATGACAGACAAGAGCTTAACAATTCTATACTTCACATTAGACTCAAATTGATGAACAAAATGCACCAGAAATAGCTCCATAATAAGAGCTTTGCATGCATCCCATCGCTCTATAATCCATTCTGCCTGTTAACACGGTTTCTCTCCGAGTTATACGCCTCCTGCAGGGCTGATGGGATTTCTATTTATAGAATTTGATATCCTTGTCTTATTGTGAAGCCACACAAAAGAAGGAAATTGCGTTTCCTAGAGACACAGTGTTGTTGGCACATTAACAAGTCTTTTCAACGAGGGAGGGAGAGGATTGGGAACATTTGGACTCGTGAGGTTTTTTCTTCTCAACAATCAAGTGTTTGGCAGGTTTACATTCAAGGCTTTGGAGATTCCTGCGTATTGTTCTCATCGTAATCTGCTATTGTTATCGCTTACAGATTAGATATCAGTAACGTGTTATATCCCAGAAGCCTGTGGGACTAAATGAACAACCTTAAATCAACTTTAGGTATTAGTTATTAGGATTAGCCGCTTAATCAGATAAGGAAACACGGAAATAAAGAAATCTGTGATGTGAGAACAACCTACTTGAAATGAGAATATGTGTTATTCTTAATTACAAGCGCTTACTGTACTTACTGTAATAAAAGCACCATTTAATCCGTGACTAAACTCCATCTATGCATCCAGCTATCCCCATTCAGGCCTGTTGACTTAAAGGTACCATGTGGAGTAATGTTGACATCCTATTGTGCATTTCCTTCCTCGTAAAACATTTTCAAAGTGTGTGTTATGGAAGTATTCAAGACCTAAACTCATGTTTGTTACTCCATCCATGTTCTGAACGACGTCACGGTCTTTAAATGACCCCGTGTGACTCGGTGACAGACAGGAAAACAGTATCAAAACCAGATTGTTTTGACTTACTGTGGTGCTCCTCGGTGATCTCCTTGTCCTGGTAGTACCACACCACCACGGGCACCGGGGAGCTGATCACGTCGCAGACCACCTCGGCCGTCTCTCCGTGACGAAACTCCTGCGGCGACTGAACGTCTCGAAACGTGAGCCTCTCTGGAAAAGAGATTGAGATGGAAAAAGCTTTTTGTTTTTCACATTCTGTAACGCGACACCAAAAGGGAAATAACTGCTGTGCTTTTACAGTATCGAGAACTACGGACCCAGGGCTTGAAAAAGTTACGTTAAAACACAGTCTCTTTTTTCAGGTGGTGTGCTAGTTGGTTCGATAATGCAGGTGCAAGTGTTGTTAGCCCTCTATTTGGACACGTGGCATCATGCATTTATCGATTTAACGATTGAAAAAGCCATTTGTCCTTGAACTACTAAAAGAGGTTTGTTCCCCTCAAATAAAAAGTTTGTATTCAGTATTTAGATTCTCTTTCATGGGACCTTTTGCCTTGCCTATCACAGCGTGAGAAACAACGTGAAATTAACGGATGACTTCACCCTCAAATATCAAAAATCAAATATCAAATGCGGCTTTGACTGTTTTTTCTGGGCCCCAGTTGAGGCGCTTGTGATGAAACAGCACAGGTGGACGTTACATGTCACAGAAATGACAAAAAAAATCACTGACTCGAGCTTTTTCTGCTGCCTCTCTGTTTGCATAATGAGACCAGAACACAGGCGGCCTTTCACTCTCTCTTTCTTAGCTTCAGGAGCTTCAATGACAGATCCCTCGTCCTCTTCTCAACAAACATTTTTGACGATTTGCTTTTACGGAGGGACCCTCTTCTTCCAAACAAACGGCTCCTGATCTCCTCGTGTTTTGGGACCGAGGGCTTTGATGAGCGGCCACCTGCCATCCTCTGCGTTGTGTATAGTGAAAGTGTGAATAAATCAGCTTCCCCTATCAGTCCTTTGCGTTAGCGAGGCTTGGGCATTAGCATTTTGCTGTGTGATTTATGCCGGGCTGCTCCTTAAAATGAGCTCTCTCTCTCCCGGCTGCGAACGTGCCCGGCGTCTCAGTGTCTTCATTAACTTCAAGGATGCCTCTGCGTGTGTTTGGTTTCTTATCAATTTCCCTCTTCTTTTATTTCCAGGATCTTTAACTCTCTCTCTCAGGTTTCTACCCTTCTGATGTTCCTTCTGTTCACCTCTCTCCTTTGTAGTCGCATTGCTCTACAAGGGAGACAACCTCTCACGCTGCACACTTGACTCTGGAGAATTGAGAATGTACTCAGAGGTTTCTCTATAGCTGTTCGCCTACACATCACTGCGAGGGAGAGGACTTTCACTGTTACAGCATTATTGCTTCGTCCATTCATAAACTAGGAGGAAATGAAAGGGGCTATCTATTATGAGTTTCCTGTTTGGATGCAGAGGCAGAAAACGGCAGTTGATTTTGTCATCAGTTAACTTTTAGTGAAACATATACAAACGGATGCTACTGATAATAACATCTAACATTTGCCTATTATCACTCAACTTGGTGTGAGTGAACTGTCATTAGCTCTGCTGGTAACAAGTCAATAATTAACGTTTTAAAAGTTAAGGTGGGGTAGGTCATTTTGGAGAAACCAGCTCGAGTGCGCTAGAATTTGAAAATACACAGGCCGTTTCTCAATGTCGAGGATGCTTGATGTCTTCCGATTCACTTCCTTCAGAAGCTAGGCAAGAATCCTTCCTGGCATTCGGAAAACGAAGAGTGGAACAGCAAGTGCGCATGTGTGCGTCATATGATAGGCCCCGCCTTACATTTTCCGACACAGATTTGGGGAAATTGGTCCGTGCGCAAAGCATTGTGGGGATTTGAAGGATGCGAAGTCTACCCATGTGCAGCCTCGAAATTACCCCCAAACCAAGGACGCGGCCTCGGTGGAATTCCAAGTATGCTGGAGATTGGAACAGTCCTTCGGCGGCACTCGATGACGTAGCATCCTTGAAATATTGGCTTGGAAGCCAGTTTCCTCGAGATTGAGAAACACGTTGTACAAATCTCCGGTACATAATAACATATACAATTTTAATTTTTATCACCGATCGCAATCTTTATATTTCCTTCGAGTTTTTATACGCAATAAGTTTGTACTCAACACCTCTTATCTATGTGTTATCTATTCTACTTGTATATATAATAATGGTGCTGAGGAGACCCATAGTAATCGCTCAACATCTCGCCACGCCCGTGGAACGGTAGTAGTAAATACGTGGGAAAAAAGACTACGAAACGGGGGCGCTCAACGTCCCCAGTGTTGGGATTATTCTCTTGGCCTGGTGCACCTCCCGGCGACATTAGGTGTCACTTTAGTTCGCGAACAATGCTTCCGCAACCATAATGATGGTCTCCCCTATTCCATAACGATCCTTTCTTGTTGAACTGTACTGACGCTGAGTCTTTCTGTTTCCGACTCGTACATTCGGTTCCGTTTTAATGCTCGGCTTCTACGTACATCTTGTCTCCGAGACCGGGGAGTCTGGTCGGGGGATTGTGTGTGTGTGTTGTGTGTGGTTGTGTGTGTGTGTGTGTGTGTGTGGTGTTTCAGACAGTGTTGTTGTGTTGTGTCAGTAGTGGTGTGTGTGTGTGTGTGGTGTGTGGGTGTGTGTGGTGTGTGTGTGTGTGTGTGCTGGTGTGTGTGTGTGTGTGTTGTTGTGTGTGTCGTGTGTGTGTGTGTGTTGTGAACTTTGTGTGTGTGGTGTGTGTGTGTGTGTGGTGGTGCGTGGTTGTGTGTTGTGTGTGTTGGTGAGTGGGTAACCTCGACGCCGACCTACGTAATTGTATTTGGGTGTGACAGCGATGAACGCGGGTTCACGGAGACGGGGGTATGTGCGGTTCGTTCCGCGGTTCTTGGTGGAACCGTGTGTTGGATAACTCGGCGTCGAAGGGGTGGGGATTTCTTCTGTTCCTCACGGGTGTCCTTTACAGGGTCCCCCGGTCTCACGTGCTCTGTCGCTCGCTGTAGTGTACGTCGGGGTGTGGTCCGTGTCAACATTCCAGTCTCTCGCCGAACCCTGACGCAAGTTGGACTCTAGCTGTGTTGTGTGTAGGTGTGTATGGTGTCGGTACTCGTGTAATGGGTGTGTGTGTCCGTGTTGTCGGTTGTGTAGTTCAGTGGGTTTTATCCGTCCTCCCAAACAATAGAATCAAATCAATGTTACGTGACATTTATCTTTAAGGGTAAGTAGATTCGTGCATTCTCAGTACAATTTGAAGTCTTCAAACCGTTTTGAATTAAAACAGAAATTGCCAGTATGACTAAATACCTCCATAACTTTCATAAACTTGTGTGCTTGACATTGCGCCACCTCGTCCTGAATGTACTATCAGCTATGACAAAGTTTGTCGAGGCGGTCACCCTAGAACAGAATCGGTAGCACCCTGGGTAGTGTAAGTGTCGTACGCTCGCTCGGTGTGTGACCCTTTCGATGTCATGTGTGTAAGACTCGCTTTCTTGTTTAGTTTCTGTTGGCAGTCAGAGCACAGATGGTGACCGGGGGAATTAGTATTACTCCGATGGTCCAGTTTACATCGTTTTGCCTAGGTGCGCCTAGACCTGGTGTGTGATGTTCAGGGAAGGACGGGAACAATGGTGGGTGTGTGCTACATTCTTCATTACATTGAGTGGTTTCGCGTTCCGTCTCGTGCGGTGTTACTGTGTGTGCGGTAAGTTTGTAGACGTATACCAGCCTCGTCCCTCGCTCAGACCGATCACCCCGGCCGGTGCAGCATAAATGTTTCGTGGGCTTTGTAACTGAAATCGTTTGTCTGTCCCACTCCCAGTCCCGGTGCATTGGACAGGAGTCAGAAATAGTTGACCCAGGTCCTGTCACTTTGCCCTTTTGGGACGGCAAGTCCAACGAAGGTTCTAATCGACCCGTTTGTCTATGTGTGTCTACGTCTGCAATGTGTGTCGGTGGTCGACCAAACTCAGTTCTGTAGGACCGGTCAAACGAAACGATTAGGTTGGTCGATGTTCGTACAAAGAAAACAATTTATGCGAACACTTCTAGCACATCCCAAGAGTTTTAGCAAGTAGCGTGCGGTAGTTGTGTTGTAAGGTGATGCTCGTGAGCTCGATAGTACCAGTCACTTATGGCAGTCCGGGACTATGATTAGTTGTGTGCGGGAAACCAGGACTATACGGGTGTTTACTAGTAGGGTTGTGAGCGAGAACTTTGAATAACGAAGCTTCCGCTCGTCGGAACTTATGGGTATGCGTGGAATCATACAAGCATATTTTGCTCTTTTGTCACAGCCGTCGCTGGGGTGTCGTGTAGTAGAAGAAATACACGATGTACTGCGCGAGCTGTGCTGCCCGTCCCTTTTACTATATCGGTTATTTCCCACGCCACCGGTAATGGTCCAGGGGCGTTCTTCAGGTGCGATCTCGTGTTTTCGATGTCAAACGTTTTCCCCTTTTTATGTACCACATCTGTCGTGGAAGTAGTTGTGATGTCCTCAATTATATCCCCACGTTATAATCATTTTTTACCCCTAAAACACGTTATTCAAACTTCCGTCATGTCCTACCAGCATTGTTTCCACCTACTTGTACGTATACCTGTGTGTTAGAGAGGGCCGGTGCACGTCAGACTTACGAAACGTAGAACGTGAAAGAGGACCACCCAGGGGTTGGTCATGTTGTACTCTCCGCGTTAATCTATCTTACCGGCAAGACAAATTTGATTAGGAATTTTGGTCTTATTATTTATCGCAAAGTTTTCTGGAAAGAGTCTCCGAGTTTGGCTTTTGTTCTTATCTTTTTGTCTATAATTTCTTAGTTTGTCTCGTCCGTTGTACTATGTCCGGGGATCGGTCGGTCTTGAGTTATTTACACGTGGCGGCTAGTTACGAGGGTCTTTTAGGAAAAGTATGTAAACGTAATTTTGCTTGCTACGACAATAGGGTAAAGACGGTGAGGTAAGTGACCATAGGGGGTTTGGGTGTTAGACGGCATCTTTTTATGATGTACCCTTTTAACCTCAGTCTCCGGAACGACGTGACTCTTGGTTTTCAACGTTCTGCACAATGTTGTTACGGTTTACATAACGTAAAACTCATAGGATTCTCGCATTCAGACTGTGATTAGGTTTCTTTGTGGTTCAGATGAAAGTAAACGGGATCGTAAACCCTTGGTATCCGCTATAAATCAGTTCCGAAAGCCCTTACAATACGTTTTGTGTCGTGCCGACTCTCAATATTTTGGAGACGCTAGGGATTAATAGGAAAACTTGCAATGGGACACCAATCATTGATTGACAGCCGTCGGACCTACTGTGAGTATAACTAACAGGTCTTATCTCTCCCTAAAATAAGAAACAGCATTAATATCAAAAATGAGTATCTTTACACCGTCCACTTAGACCTCCTTAAATTGAAACTCTAAGTAACGTCTACGGTACACTGGTCTCTAGTGTTTGATAGGTACTTTTGATTCCTATAAACCTTCACAAATTCCTTTACTTGACTAGGACGACGTGTCCCCACAGAGTTAGCCTTCCTATAACCCGAGGTTCGGTTTAAAGTTCCTACGATTCAGTAGTTCCGCGTCGTTTGGCAGGTTACAGGTCATATGAATTGGTGTTTTTTTCAGAAAACATTATTTTTTGTTTGAATTACGTGTACCCACCTGTTAGCGTAGGAAGTTTGGTTGTTTTTTTTTCTGTACCTGGTTCACGGGGTTTAGACACCGCCATTTTACTTCCGCCCGGAGGCAGTATATGGTGGTGACGTGTGAAAAACGATCCGGGACAGGTGGAAGAAAGGCTTACGGTCCTTCCTAAACGGATGAAGACTGTCCCTTACTGAGCCTTCTGTACACGTGGTTCGTTCGCATGAGCCTCTACTCTTGCCGACCCCACAAAGAGTCTTAGCGCTGCTTTTTTGACGGGTCTCGGGTTGATAGTTCGTATTGGATGCAGTAGCTCACGGCCGGTTCATGACAAGGTTTACAGGTCTGTATGAACCTTTAGATGGCTTCGGTCCGCACTGAAGCAACTCTT